TTTTCACCAAAAATCTACTGCACCAAAATTTCTCGGGAAAACAATTTTTCTTATTAATTTTGGTGCGTAGAATCCAAAACGATTCGTACTTTTTCGATTAGACTTCTCAATCAAAAGTTATAGACTAGAAACCAATTTCGACAAAAAATTCAAAGGGCTGTAACTTTTGATCTAGTAGCCCAATCTTGGAACTGTTTGAAATTATGGAGATGGACGGAGTCTTGCAAAATTGGTAGAGCAATTGTAGTACAATGCCCCCGTTTTTGATTAATTAGTTTAAATATAATATTATTGATAAATTCAATGATGATATGTACAAGTGCGCCATCTCGTTGGTAAACGATACACTTTTTTCACGTTATAGTATTTTAAGTTTAGTTGAGATGTCGCCACGTACGTAACTTCATTTGAAATTGCTTTTGAATTTATGCGATTAATAGCCGCCTTGGACTTAGTTTTCCTTAAATGGCACTTCAAGATTGACGAAGTCTTGCAAAATCTGTAGAGCAATTGTAGTTCAATGGTCCGGTTTTTGATTAATTAGTTTAAATATAATATGTAAAAGTGGCGGGCCATCTCCTTGGTAATCAATACACTTTTTTCAAGTTATAGATTTTACAGTTTAGTTGAGATGTCGCCAAGTACGTCCCTTTTTTCGTAATCACTTTTGAATTTTAGCCACGACCGACATACAGATTCAAAAGGCGACGGGACGACACCTTTGCGGACCTCGGGCATACAGACACTCCAGGACATGTGGTAAAGGGGTACATGGACGCTGAGAATGGATTTGGTGGACACACACCCCCACGCACCCTTGCACACTACACGCGTCGAAGTAATTATTTCAAAGTCAATGAAAGGCTCCTCAAATGGTTCACCGTGGCCGTACCGTGCGCGTCCATCACATTTTTAAACGACACTGTGCTCACGATGTAAACCTTCTCCCACAGAAATATTTCAACGCCTTACTTAGTCTTAAACCTTTACAAAACTTGTATCAGGAGAATATAATGTCCGAGAAGGTGATTGAGAGTTAGGTTAAAGTTTTAGTGAGGTTATAGGTTAGAGTGATAGTTAGGATAGCTCAGAAATCTTGTATCAGGAGAATATGATGTGCGAGGAGATTGAAGATTAGGATAAAAAATTAGTGAGGTTTGGTTAGGGTGATAGTTAGGTTAGGTCAAATTAGTTTAGGCGTCTAAAATTTTGGCAAACTAATTTGACCTAACCTATCACCCTAACCTAACGTCACTAAAAATTTTTCCTAACCTTCATCTCCTCGCACATCATATTCTCCTGATACAAGATTTTTGAGCATGGGCGCCGCTACTAAAGGGCAAGGGGGGGCCCGGGCCCCTCCCTGGGATTTGAGAAATCACTTAATCCCTTTTAGAAAATGTTGAAAGCTCACAATAAAACCAGAACACAGCCACATTTTTCTGTCCCATCGCTGTTCGGTGACAAAGCAAAAGTAGGTAAACCTTTTATAACCTTATTGAGTTACCTCAATGTCCATAAAGTTGCTATATTGTATAGACTATAGAGATTAAATTAACCGAAGACCGCAAGGTGGCGTTTTGTTTTGGAAAAACATCAATGACAATATTGTCATGTCACTTACATATTTCGGTTCGGCGGTTTTTAGCGCATTTTTCAAAAGGAAAACGAACGCTATTGTCCGCACTTTGTCCGTCTTTACCATTACTAGTCCTCCACTTTAAGCTTTTTCGTTGTGGTTTCTTTCTTATACAGTGTAGCACAGCCTCGAGGCCAGAACGACAAAAGACTTTTGGATTAGTCACTTCCTTCCCGACCCCGAGCTACGAGTATTATTACTGATTCTGTGCGGGGAAAATGCGCTTTCGTTGGTCGCGAGTGACCACTTTTTTAACTTGTTATGGAATAGATGCACATAAAGTGATGAATATACGAAGAATCGCATACGATTCAGTAGGGGAATTTTGTTACTCAGCTCCTATTGGGAAACCAGACTTTTCATCCGGCTCATATTCAATAGCACTGATTCTTGAACTCGTAGAAATCGATTGGCGAACATTTGACATCGCTGTGTCTTTTCGTTCCTGAGTTAGACGAGGAACAGGCGCACAGGCGGACAAAACCATCACGTAAGAGGAATTTTTATTCTTCCGATTACATTGTATTACCCTACTCTACATTCAACATTGTAATCAATAACATTATGGTTGGTAATTTGTTATAGTTTTGAGTAGAAAAATTATGCAGACACAGTTTAATGTTACAATTTGCCCTCGAATTTGCCTTGCGCACTGTAATTTTTATCACCTGCACGTTAGTAAGAGAGGTATTGCATTGGGGTAAAAAATGCCCCCCCCTCCTACTTTTTTTCGGAAATACACGTTTTGAAGCACCAGGATTCCGAATCCAACAACATTTTGATGATGTCGATCTGTCTGTAGTGTACTGTTATTGTAACCAAATTTGGTACACATATTCTTAGATATAAAAGGAAGAGCTGAAAAGCTTTCGGGGAGAATAGCGCATGCGCAAGTGTGTTAAACTCTCATTAACGGCTAAACGGCTGAACCGATTGGAACCAAATTTGGTACACATATTTTTGAACCTAAAAGAAGGTACAACGCGCATGCGCCGGTGTGCGAGTGGTCTCTGTGCTAACCACAGCAAATTTTATAATATAGTGCTATTAATTTCATTTTTTTTTCCAGTAAACTACTGTAACTTGTTACTTTTGTTCTTGTTTTCTTTTGTGTCTTATGTACCTATTACACTATTACACCAAGTGGTTTTTATTGGATATATGATTTAGCTGCGTATCCTATTGAGTGACTAATTTAAAAATAGTTAGGTAACATTTTCTATTCCAAAAATGTAAGGGCCCCTCCCTAGCGCATTTTCTTCCGGTGCCCCTGTTTTTGAGCTAACCTAACTATCACCCTAACCTAACTTCACTAATTTTTTCAGTAAACCAGCAAGTTGCAGCCGGAGAGGATCCTAAGATTTTTTAACAAACTGCCTCTCTTACAGCACGAATACAATTGATTCAGATTCAAGGGTCCAAGTGCGAAGGGGTAAAATAGCCAAACCCAAAGCGGATAAAGTTATAGAGCAGATAAAATTGCTAATACATAGGACTACAATTGCTGTACACATCTCGTACATTCTAGTAGCCCAATCTTCAAACTGTTTGAAATTATGGATTCTACAGGCCACATTCTATAAGAAAATTTTTTTCCGGGTCGATCTGAGACAATTTTTTTTCGGGGCAAAAAAAGGCAGTGTATAACCTTCGTTTTTTCCAAAAATCGACTGCACCAAAATTTCTCGGGAAAACACTTTTTCTTATTAATTTTGGTGCGTAGAATCCAAAACAATTCGTACTTTTTCGATCAAACTTCTCAATCAAAAGTTATAGACTAGAAACCAATTTCGAAACAAAATTCAAAGGGCTGTAACTTCTGAACTAGTAGCCCAATTTTGGAACTGTTTGAAATTATGGATTCTACAGGCCATGTTCTATAAGAAAAATTTTTTTCCCAAGACGATCTGAGACATAGAGAAGAAAAATACTTAGTAAAAGATAAAAGTGACTACGATCTGTCTTATGGAGGTTGTTGAATAGCCAGGGCATTGAGGGGGGCCACTCCCGCGAGACGATCAAGCGATTGCCTATCCTAGAAGGGAGATCGGACTCACTCACTCCTCAATTCATATTAGGAAAAAACGATCACATCTTCTTTAATGAGAATATGGCATCCCAACCAGACATAAGTATTCATCTTCACGGATGGATCCAAGACAATGGAAGGAACAGGTATTTACACCAAAGAACTGAACTTCCATATCACCCCATGATTACTAGGGAAACTTCCTACTGTACTCCAGTCCAGTCCAGAGTTGGTAGGATTAACGCTTAGTGCAAGGGCAGTTCTTATGCATAACATAAGAACAAAACTATCAGAATCTCAAGTGACAGTAGGGCTGCCTTGCAATCACTTGGTCACTGTAAAATTACCTCTAGGATGGTTTCCGAATGTCACCATGTACTAGAGCAAAGAGCAAGCAGCAACACCCTTGAGCTCGTATGGGTCAAAGGGCATGCTGGAACGGAAGGTAATGAGAGAGTCCATAAATTAGGCCGACTGGCCTCAAAACAGGCGTTTTATGGTCCAGAGCCGGCTCTTCCACTTACATGTTACAACTGTAAACAATCTAATAACTTAAGCCACCCAAACCCAGCACAGGGCTAGGTGGAACTTCCGAGGACCATCTCGTAGCTTGGCGCGTTTTTGTACAGGGCCATCAAGGAAGAACCTGAGGTTACTCGTGGGCATACTTTCTGGGCAAACAAGCACATGCAACGCATGGGGTTGGTATGGTATCACCATCTTGTAGAGGATTTTACACTGACGACGAGACGGCAATGTCCCGCTCTAGTCCAACTGAGACGATCCATGTTGGGGGAATCCCGTTGGGACATGGCTACGATTAGAGCCGCCTCCTCTTCCAGCCTCCTAAGTGTGTGTAAGGAAGTTCTGGAAGCTACAGCTATTGAGCCTGTCCACGCAGCGGACACTGGCCGCTGCACTACACCCATTACCACAACGTCAAATCAGAACTTACAACCCTGGACGCACTTATACTATGGGGTGTAATTGAAGTATAACCACGGAGTGATCCTAGACGCCATCGGAAGGTTTCCGGGACGACAAAGGCGAAGTCCAGGTTCAACGAATGGGGAGGTGTCGGTTTTAAATTAGTTTAAAATTCCTTTTGACCGCGAAAACGATACGGAATTTTGGAAAGTTTTCCACAAAAGCAAAATCCAACGCTCATTTCTGAATAATGGACCTCTCCTGATGCCAAAAACCAACGATTGAAAATCTTTCGGGACAGCCCTCGTACGAAATTGCAATAGTCGATGGTGTATATTTAGATTAACTTAACCGATCATATTTTCCCCACCACCTGCAACGATCATCGCCATTTGTCATTGTATCAAATTTGAACCTTGACATAATCCGACTGGTCTGTACAAAAGGGAGATAACTAATTCGAGACGGCCTGTGACCGGAAAACGCACGCTGCACTCGTTATAAATTTAGCTGGGCTCAGCTCATTTTAATTGCAGAGGCGTACAAAAAGTGAAAGTGAAGATGAGGTACGTTTTCTCTATTTTGACCATCGTTTTCCATAAAATCCCTAGGGTTACGCTGATCCTTTTCGTAATGCTTCTTCTGTCCGTCATTTATGCCAACTCGAAGCGCGTCAAATCGGATAAACGGTGTAGTGGAGAAGAGAAGGACGAGGGTCGTAAGAAGCTTAAGGGTACCGCCGATTCGGGGGAGGATGATTTTAGGTGGAATCGGAATTTCAAGAAGCACAAACAAAACACCTACGATAAATTTGAGAAGAAGAAACAGCCGGACGTCTACAAACTCAAGGAGAAGATCAGGGAGTACGCCAAGACTAGTGGGGAGGTGAAGAAAAATAAGGAAAAACGGTAAGCTTCCCTCTCGGGTCGCTTAATCGAGAGTACCTACTTTGCAGGTCCAGGACCGTAACGGAAAACGTTGTCGATGCCCCAAAACCGGCGACAACAGATTTGCAATGCGATTCTGAGGAGAACACGTGCAGCGCTAGTGTCTAAATTATTGTTTTTGTTGTACTCATGTCTTGTACAATTTGTAAGGAAATAAAGAAAAGTGTTTCTTTGTATCGATGAGACATAAATTAGCTCGTTTGAGACGGTGCCAAAGCTTGCTTTAATTATTCAATTAGTTATGGGTCCCGGTCCAAGCTACTGTCTTAATCTAAACATGCACTTTTTTTGGCACGCGCCGCTTGTTTGTGCACATTTGCGATCACCAACGTTCGATTTCGTCTCCTTATTCTTCAATGAATAGTATTTCATCGAGTATGTGTCCAACTTATGCAAAATTGGATCAATTTTGCACAGTTTTCAAACTAGCCATCTCAAGCACAAACATCGAAAATGTACAATGGTCGAAGCCGTCTATCTATCTATCTATCCACAAGGAAGCTCGACCAGGCAGCCCTTGGGCACACCAAAGACCCCCTTTCTTTCGCAACTGGGTTCAGAGCTCGTTCCTCTCAATGAAAGATAGGACCTTGTTTAGCCTAAGTTGCTTCACCCTCCAGATAGCTGTCTCCAAGGAGTTGCTGTCTGTTCCTGATCAATGCGTCACAGTGACAAATCACGTTCTTGGCAGGTTCATCTGCCTTGCCACAGAACCTGCACGGGGGGTCCTCCACAAGCTCAGTGTTATGCAGGTGATAGTTGACCTACCGTTATTTGTTAACAAAGTTATGTAAAATATTTATTGCTACTAGGAGAACATAATGAGCGAAAAGGTCTTTTTCTATCACTATGAGAATTATTTCAAAGCTTTATTTCTATTTAAAAATTTGCCATTCTGTACCAAAATTTCTCGGACAAACACTTTTTCTTATTAATTTGGGTGCGTAGAATCCAAATCAATTTGTACTTTTTCGATCAGACTCCTCAATCAAAGGTTATAGACTAGAAACCAATTTCGAAAAAAAATTCAAAGGGCTGTAACTTTTGAACTAGTAGCCCAACTGAACTGTTTGAAATTATGGATTCTACAGGCCACATTCTAGAAGAAAAATTTTTTTCCGGTTCGATCTGAGACAATTTTTTTTTGGGGCTCAAAAAAAGGAAGTGTATAACCTTCCTTTTTTACAAAAAATCGACTACACCAAAATTTTACGAAGAGGTCTTTTTCTAGCTCTGTCAGAATTATTTCAAAGCTTAAATTCGATTTAAACATTTGCCAATTCTGTATCGGGATCATATGAGTGCGAGGAGGTGTTTCTTTTCCTAATGCTACACCTGATACTTGTCGACAAACTTATGTAAAAGGTGTCGTGCTACTAGGAGAACACAATGTACGAAGAGGTCTTTTTCTAGCTCTGTCAGAATTATTTCATAGCTTTCATTCGATTAGAAATTTGCCAATTCTGTATCAGGATCATATGAGTGCGAGGAGGTGTTTCTTTTCCTAACGCTACACCTGTTGCTTGTCGACAAACTTATGTAAAAGGTGTCGTGCTACTAGGAGAACATAATATACGAGGAGGTCTTTTTCTAGCTCTGTCAGAATTATTTCAAAGCTTAAATTCGATTTAAACATTTGCCAATTCTGTATCGCGATCATATGAGTGCGAGGAGGTGTTTTTTTTTTTTTTTAAAGGTGCAGCTCATCAACTACTGGGTTATTAGTGCTACACCCTCCTTTGATCGTTAATCGCAAAACGAGTGTACTACTTCGGAATTCTTTTCCTAATGCTACACCTGATACTTGTCGACAAACTTATGTAAAAGGTGTCGTGCTACTAGGAGAACATAATGTACGAAGAGGTCTTTTTCTAGCTCTGTCAGAATTATTTCATAGCTTTCATTCGATTAGAAATTTGCCAATTCTGTATCAGGATCATATTAGTGCGAGGAGGTGTTTCTTTTCCTAACGCTACACCTGTTGCTTGTCGACAAACTTATGTAAAAGGTGTCGTGCTACTAGGAGAACATAATATACGAGGAGGTTTTTTTCTAGCTCTGTCAGAAGTGTTCCAAAGCTTTCATTCGATTTAAAAATTTGCCAATTCTGTATCAGGATCATATGAGTGCGAGGAAGGTGTTTTTTTCCCTAATACTACAAATGTTACTTGTCGACAAACTTATGTAAAAGGTGTCGTGCTACTAGGAGAACATAATATACGAGGAGGCTTTTTTCTAGCTCTGTCAGAATTATTTCAAAGCTTAAATTCGATTTAAAAATTTGCCAATTCTGTATCAGGATCATATGAGTGCGAGGAGGTGTTTCTTTTCCTAATGCTACACCTGTTACTTGTCGACAAACTTATGTAAAAGGTGTCGTGCTACTAGGAGAACATAATATACGAAGAGGTCTTTTTCCAGCTCTGTCAGAATAATATCAAAGCTTTCATTCGATTTTACAAATTGCCAATTCTGTATCAGGATCATATGAGTGCGAGGAGGTGTTTCTTTTCCTAATACTACACCTGTTACTTGTCGACAAACTTATGTAAAAGGTGTCGTGCTACTAGGAGAACATAATGTACGAAGAGGTCTTTTTCTAGCTCTGTCAGAATTATTTCAAAGCTTTCATTCGATTTAAAATTTGCCAATTCTGTATCAGGATCATATGAGTGCGAGGAGGTGTTTCTTTTCCTAATACTACACCTGTTACTTGTCGACAAACTTATGTAAAAGGTGTCGTGCTACTAGGAGAACATAATGTACGAAGAGGTCTTTTTCTAGCTCTGTCAGAATTATTTCAAAGCTTTCATTCGATTTAACAATTTGCCAATTCTGTATCAGGATCATATGAGTGCGAGGAGGTGTTTCTTTTCCTAATACTACACCTGTTACTTGTCGAGAAACTTATGTAAAAGGTGTCGTGCTACTAGGAGAACATAATATACGAAGAGGTTTTTTTTTTCTAGCTCTGTCAGAATTATTTCAAAGCTTTCATTCGATTTAAAAATTTGCCAATTCTGTATCAGGATCATATGAGTGCGAGGAGGTTTTCTTTTCCCAATACTACACCTGTTACTTGTCGACAAACTTATGTAAAAGGTGTCGTGCTACTAGGAGAACATAATATACGAGGAGGTCTTTTTCTAGCTCTGTCAGAATTATTTCAAAGCTTTCATTCGATTTAAAAATTTGCCAATTCTGTATCAGGATCATATGAGTGCGAGGAGGTGTTTCTTTTCCTAATACTACACCTGTTACTTGTCGACAAACTTATGTAAAAGGTGTCGTGCTACTAGGAGAACATAATATACGAAGAGGTCTTTTTCTAGCTCTGTCAGAATAATTCAAAGCTTTCATTCGATTTAACAATTTGCCATTCTGTATCAGGATCATATGAGTGCGAGGAGGTGTTTCTTTTCCTAATACTACACCTGTTACTTGTCGACAAACTTATGTAAAAGGTGTCGTGCTACTAGGAGAACATAATATACGAAGAGGTCTTTTTCTAGCTCTGTCAGAATTATTTCAAAGCTTAAATTCGATTTAAAAATTTGCCAATTCTGTATCAGGATCATATGAGTGCGAGGAGGTGTTTCTTTTCCTAATACTACACCTGTTACTTGTCGACAAACTTATGCAAAAGGTGTCGTGCTACTAGGAGAACATAATATACGAAGAGGTCTTTTTCTAGCTCTGTCAGAATTATTCAAAGCTTTCATTCGATTTAAAAATTTGCCAATTCTGTATCAGGATCATATGAGTGCGAGGAGGTGTTTCTTTTCCTAATACTACACCTGTTACTTGTCGACAAACTTATGCAAAAGGTGTCGTGCTACTAGGAGAACATAATATACGAAGAGGTCTTTTTCTAGCTCTGTCAGAATTATTTCAAAGCTTTCATTCGATTTAAAAATTTGCCAATTCTGTATCAGGATCATATGAGTGCGAGGAGGTGTTTCTTTTCCTAATACTACACCTGTTACTTGTCGACAAGCTTATGTAAAAGGTGTCGTGCTACTAGGAGAACATAATGTACGAAGAGGTCTTTTTCTAGCTCTGTCAGAATTATTTCAAAGCTTTCATTCGATTTAAAAATTTGCCAATTCTGAATCAGGATCATATGAGTGCGAGAAGGTGTTTCGGTTCCTAATACTACACCTGTTACTTGTCGATAAACTTATGCAAAGAAATTGGTAGTGTATACACTGCCTTTTTTTGAGGCCTGAAAAAAAATTGTCTCAGATCGACCGGGAAAAAAGTTTTGTTCGCATGCTAGTTAGGTTAGCTCAGAAATCCTGTATCAGGAGAATATAATGTGTGAGGAGATTGAAAGTTAAAATAAAATTTTAGTGAGGTTAGGTTAGGGTGGTAGTTAGGTTAGCTCAAAAATCTGGTATCAGGAGAATAGGATGTGCGAGGAGATTGAAAGTTAAAATAAAATTTTAGTGAGGTTAGGTTAGGGTAGTAGTTAGGTTAGCTCAAAAATTTGGTATCAGGAGAATATAATGTGCGAGGATATGAATGAAGGTTAGGTTAGGTTAGGTTAGAGTCCTAGTTAGGTTAGGTCAGATTAGTTTGGGCGTTTAAAATTTTTACAAAACTTGTATCAGGAGAATATGATATTCGAGGAGGTGATTCAAGCAATGTCTAACCTCACTATCAGGGAACTTTACCTTCCCTCACAAGATCTAACCTAACTCACATGAAACTTAACCCTCATTTAAAATAATTATTTATTGCGGCATACTCTTATGGCGATTTAGTTCGTGTATTGTGAGTTGACTAAAATCGTCAAAAAATTTGTAGGGATGCAGTCCGTCATCCGGCCTTTTCAATGACAGTCCAAAAACGCTATGACACATAATAATCAGGCTGTAATACAGATTTGTTTAGTTTTCGAGTTTCAGGGCTTTACTCCAATGACAGGGGTGGGCACAAAACCCAAAAAAATTATAGATTTGCATGAGTTTTTTTTGTAAATAATTAAATATTCAAAGCAAAAAGCATGGTGTTGACATCTATCATTATTAATGAACACTAACATTTTATCGATAAATGCAGGATACTTTATTATTACCATTATTTTAATTACACCTAGTTCTGAAAGATGTCGCAACACAACTTCTTAAATAGAATTTATGAAACCAACGTTAGATGTCAGAGCGTTTATTTTTCATACAGTAACCATAGAT